CTACTATAGTTAATATCAAGATGTTAACTAATTGTCATCTTAGTAACACTCGTCAATATTAACATAGAGGAAGAAATAGCTATTACTATAACTAATGTCAAGATGTTAACTAATTGTCATCTTAGTAACACTCCCCAACATTGATATAGAAATAGTATTTGAAGGAAGAATTAATATTCAAGGAAGAAGATTAAAGAGAATAACTCACAACTTACAAATTCATTAAGCTTCAAAGTAGCAAAACCAAGATGGAAGAGTTTAGTTCCTCATTTGGAGACTAAACATGAAGAAAATATAAAGAAAACACTAATCTAAACTGAGCTAAAGAGTATATATGTGAATTGGTTCCCTCAATGTGAAGGAAAAGGGGTGTATTTATAGCAAAATAGAGGTGGCAGGGTTCGGTACTCGATACAGTATATGGGATACTGGACCGAGTATGAGAGGAAATTTCCAGGAAATTGTGAAATGTAGGCATACTCGACCGAGTATTGCCAATACTCGACCGAGTATGCGACAAGATTTTCATCAAATATTCAGCCACGTTCTTTTGCTCCCAGATTTGATTTTGACCAGCGTATCAGGCCAATACTCGACCGAGTATTGGCAATACTTGACCGAGTATTGGCAATACTCTACCGAGTATTGAACAAATTTCAAAATCTTCATTTGATCTTCTCCTTTTTGCACATTCTTTGGTCTTTAGGATCCATCCTTTGATTCTTGGGATGATTTTGACCTGTCCTAAGCTCAATATAATCCTAATCTAAATAAATTACAAATAATTAATGAAAATAAAGTATTACACCAAAAGTGTGTAATTTCTACAACTAGAACTAATAAAACTAGTTAAAAATACAAACATACATAATGGGAAATCCACCCTATCAAACTCCCCGACACTTAGTTTCTTTACTCGTCCTCGAGTAAAGCCAAATGTTTACAAGCTTTCCAATTCCTCCATAGTTCAACAATTAATAAGAAAGAGCAAAAGGCCACCAAGAATAACACATGAGTTTTACATTGGGATGATTTTTTTAGCTCATAGAATAACATCTTCTTGGGTTTTATGGCCTTCTGTGCTCATCTTTTTCTTCTCTTCTTTTCTTCTTCTTTTCCTTCCAGAGATTAAATGACGTCCTATAAAAACAATTATATCTCTCATATCTCTCGTTTTACCTAGGAGCCTTTTCAGGTTTTCATCCTAGCATCTCTTTTTATTTTTCCATCCTTTCCACTCACACATTTTTTTATAAGCCCTTTTTTGCTTAGATTGCCCGTTTTTGGGTTTTCAACCTAACTAACATTTCTTTTTCTTTTTCTTTTTCCCTTTTTTTTCTTTTTTTTTAAGAATTTTTTTTGTGTGAAGAAAATATTGCAAGTTACAAGGTAGAAAAATTAAGTACGTACCAATGAGTGACTCCCCCTCACTTAGCTCGAAGCACTGTCCCTAGTGCCCTCCATCACCATCGTTTTTTTTCTACAACTAAAACTAATAAAATTAATTAAAAATACAAACATACATAATGGAAAATTCACCCTATCAATTACTCTCAAATCTCATTACGTACCGTACTATACCTTAGCTAGTTAGCTAGGTAGTACAAGCCTACAACTTTAGGCTAAGAGATTTAGAAGAGTTGGGCGATAAATTAAAGGTCGGTGGTGCATTTCGTATTTATTTGAACTATTAAAAGAGTCATTATGTTCAATTAATGATTACCTCATACTCCGTAGATTAACCGCATAGTATCATGTTGAAATTTCTTAAAAGGACAAGCATATACACGCTCACAACTCACAAAGTTATAAACTTGACCAGATCCTAATTGATAAAAATTGACATTTAGGCTCGCACTCTATAATCATTCCAGTTTATTCTAGATTTATATAAGCAGTTAAATTGTGCTTGAATGAGAATTTTATACTCAAAGTTTATTTGGCATTTTTTTACCCCGGTGACAGAAGGTGGTGGTACCGCCTCCCTGCACCACCACCTCCGACCAACTCAACGATTGGTACCACATCAGGGCGGGGTCAGGATGATCAGCCGACCCATTGAAAGTTATGATTACCGTAATTTATAACGTGTAAAAAGTTAATGGAGAAGAAGTAACAATTAAGGAATCGATCTGAAAATTTTCCTTCTCCACCTCATCTAAATCATCTTCCGTTCCCTGCACAAAACTAGCATCACTTGAGTTCTCCCCTCCACTAATTATAAGACAATCAAAACTAGGGAGGGACTCAAGATCCTCCGCTGACACAAATATTCTTGAAATCTTTGCAATTTTAATGAATCTTGAAAGTATCTATACCTAGGACCTTTGTCAATGATCTAATTTTATTATCCTTGATTAGTTGAGATTGTATTCCTATGATTAGGCAAATAAAGTAAACTGTCGGGTAAAGTAGCCATGTTGGCCTTTCTGGTGGCAAAAATGGATTTTTTATGCTAAAACTAACTAATAATAACAGATTTTTCTCAAGGATATTGTCCCTTATAATTTTATCATGGATTTTGTCACTGTAACACCATCTCATGAAAAATGTGTCACAGATTTATTCTGTGACAAATTTGGCCATGGATTAATTCTATCATTTCCGTGACAAATTTTATCATGGATTTTGTCACTGTAACACCATCTCATGAAAAATGTGTCACAGATTTATTTTGTGACAAATTTGGCCATGGAATAATTCTGTCATTTCCATGACAACATTCGTGACGAAATACCGGTGGCGTCGCCGAACATATACCTGCGAACGGTTTCTGGTGGCAAAAATGTATTAATCCATAGATTTCACGCATTTAAAAAGTATTATTATATTGGAAAAATTTGCAACAATAACTCTAACTTATTCAGTTTTTTAAAAGGTCTGAGACTTGAATTGATTATACTACGATGTTTGACTGACCATAAAGTTAACCGATCCATGTCATTAATAGAATTATTTTTAGTAAATAAAATTTACATATTCAGAAACTACATTAAACCCGCTACAAAACTTGCAAAAAATAATTTAAATTTCATAAACTTTAGATATAAAAAGTAAAAGATTAAGAACAATGCACGTTGATCGGAGAATAGTGTACGAGAACCTTTAAATGGGACGGAGGGAGTATTTGTTAAGCATCTTTATGTCAATGCAAATGGATAAACGGTACACGGCAAAGATATTCTTGTGCTGAAAAGGCACTATCCTAATTGAAATTTGAATCAACCCCCTCATATAAACGGATGTATGTTTAATTGCTTAATTGTAGGTATTTGTTTACATGCACTACGTACCCTCCTTTCCCTTCTTCGTCCTTGAGTGTGTGCCTCCTTGAATTTGATCATGTTCACAATTCAAGCAAAATTATCATATATATAGTGGAAAACAAATATCTTATCAATATTTTAAAATTATTTTGCCTTAATTACTTTAACAAAATAAAGCACTCAGAGCAAATAAAAATGGACGACATAATTCAAATAAATCTTGATCATCTAAGAGCGTGTTTTGGTAGTACTGAAATTGATTGAATAGACGGGATTTGCTAACGATAATTGATAAATTCATACTAAAATAGATGAATTGGTTGAATGTGTTGAATTTAGGAAAGCACAAAAAATAAAGTACATTTTATTAATAACAATAAGTATTCGTTGAGGAATACCATTGAGCTACTTCGTGAAGGTAGCTAGGGAAAATTATGGGGGCAAGACTTCCTGAATCCCTCAATTTTATTAGGTGTGAATTGAACCCAAGATCTCTCATAAAGGAGATACCGGGGTTGATCGTCACCTGGAGTCTGCCCACGTCCCACCTTTCATAATTTGAACATTATTCATATGAAGTACTACTATATCATATTCGTATAATAGAATACAATACAAATAAAATTGAAAGAAAACTTTACAGTACAAAACATTATTGTTAAATTTAGGGGTGATTTGAGTTTGCATCACATTTATTGTCCAAATTAAACTTTGCACCCCGTTTTTTAAATCCTTAGTATTTGCACCCCAATCCCATATGAAAAGACAAAAATATCCTCGGTAAGAAAAGTGTTGAAGGCCAACATAATTGCCTTTTCATATGGAGTTGGGGTGCAAATACTAAGGTTTTTAAAAACGGGGTGCAATGTCCAATTTGGACAATAAAATAGGATGCAAACTCAAATTACCCCTTAAATTTATCCAAGTTTATTTTTTATAACTCTTGTTTTTGTTAATATTTAATAGAAAAAGGACGATATAATTTCACCATTATGAGAACATAGAAATTAACACATATGCTAATTTATCCATATATAATTGGGATAAGAGTCAGTTTGGTCCTCGAAGTTGCAAAAAAGAGGTCAAATAAGTCCTTATATAGAAAATTCTGTCCGGACGTGCCATTTGAGGTGGCTCCCGGTGGAATTTTTTGATGAATTTTTTTGAGCATCTTATTCATTAAGTCTAGTTTACTCATACCTAATTTCAGCAAACAATTCAATCGGGGAGACATTCAAATGAATTCTTGAAGATAACTGCGCTTTTAACAGTACAATTATCTTCAAGAATTCATTTGAATGTCTCCCCGATTGAATTGTTTGCTGAAATTTGGTATGAATAAACTAGACTTAATGAATAAGATGATCAAAAAAATTCATCAAAAAATTCTATCGGGAGCCACCTCAAATGGCACGTCCGGACAAAATCTTCTATATAAGGATTTATTTGACCCCTTTTTTGCAATTTCGAGGACCAAACTGACCCTTTACTCATATATAATTGTATGATTACGCATATTAATTTGCCAATAATTTAATCATGCATATATAGATGTCACACACACTTATGATTTATAACCATGATAATTCAATGAATAATCAATAGTGTGGACATTTGCAGTATGCTGATGTAGTGAAGTACAAAGTATTATTATATGATTACCATTTAAATACTACGTATCTATTTTAGTACTTTGCATTATATATTTATTATACCCACACATATTATAAATGTATGTGAAAATAAAGATCCCACATTATAATTTGTAAGCTTGTGCTTAGGCCATCTTGAGCACAGCCATGGCCGTCCCCATCGTTCTCAAGTATTCTTTCCTCCTTCTTCTTCTACCTTTGCATTTTTCCCCAGTCTTCAATAAAAGCTTACATCTTAATAACTATCCCATCACTTCTACGGCGTCGTTTTGCAAGTCCAATCCGTACCCTGAAGCTTGTTTACACTCCATGAAACTCTCCATTTCCATTAACATTACCCCAACTATTTTGAATTTCCTTCTCCAGACAATCCAGGATGCGTTGACCAAGGCTGACCACCTCTCCGATCTGCTCGCCGCCGCCGCCGCCGGCAACAATATCGTCGAGAGACAGAGGGGGACGGTTCAAGACTGCAGGGAGCTCCACGAAATTACGGTCTTGTCCCTGAAAAAGTCAATTGCCAAGATAAAGTCCGATAAAATTGCGGACGCGAAGGCGCATCTTAGCGCGGCGGTGACGAACAGAGCCACCTGCTTGGAAGGGCTGGAGACGGCGGCGGGTCCCATGAAAGAAACGCTGGTGGATTCCATTGAAGACACATACGAGGATGTCAGCAATGCCCTGTCGGCGCTCCCCCGATCTGGCGGCGGCGATGGGCGGCGGCGGCGGCTGATGTCGACGGGTTTCCCGGGATGGGTCTCGGAGAAGGACCGCCGCATCTTGCAGCAGGACGGTGACTATGACGACTACGACGACCTCAAGGAGACGACGCTGACGGTGGCTGCTGACGGGACGGGGAACTTCACCACCGTCACGGACGCCGTTAATTTCGCCCCGAATAACAGCGCCGTGAGAATATTCATCTACGTGAGGCAAGGGGTTTATCAAGAAAATGTGGAGATTCCGAAGTGGAAGCCTAACATTGTTATGCTCGGAGATGGCCGTAACGTCACTGTCATCACCGGTAACAGAAGTGTCGTCGACGGCTGGACAACATTCCGGTCTGCCACCGTTGGTAATTTATAACTTCATTCTTAAATACGGAGTATATTTTTACTTTTCACACTTTTTTTATTTTTACATAACTTTTAATTTCTCTATGAGTTGTGTTATAATAAAAAAAGTAAATTTAAATTTTGACTGGACTGAAGCTATTTTTCGACTTATCAGCATTATTTTAGTTACTTTTCATATAATTTTTTCTTCTTTATTACTAAGTATATTTCAATATTTTCACAATTGAGTAGAATCAGTCAATACAGTCACTTCAGCCAATATATATTTTACACTTTATAAATTCATTACAATTGTTATTATTATTGTTAGAATATAGAGAGAGTATTTTAATCAATAACAATGATTAGTGCCCACAGATTTGTTAAACCGTGATTTAATTTCAAACGAGAATGAAAACTTTAAACTGTCTTATCGTCCTATATAAAATTGGAGTATATCATACGATAGTAAATGGGACCATTTTGGCATGGCGAATGATAAGTTGATCTATGTACTTCCAAATAATTATTATTGAGCTAAGGTAGATCCAATAAGGGACTGTAAAACTAGAGAAAACCACAACTTACAACCTCAGTATGCCATTCCGAAGGCATAAAGTCAGACACTTCTGGCATCACGAAAAGTCCACAATCAATTATTTAATTTTATGCACAGTTTTGGTTGAATTTGAGGATTAAAAAAAGGACTATACTCCGTAATATACTTCACAAGTAGAGCTACAAGTAGAAAGACAACAAAATTGTTTACATGCAAAAATTTTTTTTTTTTGTTTACATGCATGTTTTTTTATATTAAAGTTACTATGGCATGTTTTTTAAGATTAATAACTGCATGTCTGCATGCATATGAGTCTGCATTATTGTTTCCCAATGCCGTATATAATACGGAGGACGTCGCATGTCTCATTAAATATTGAAATAATGTATGGAGTATCTAATTAATTATTGCATCCGTCATGGAATAGTTCAAAACTTTTGTTTACTTTTCTATTTCTATATAAAACTGACACTTTTTCAAAAATACTACTCACAAAAAATTGCTTAAAAAAATATGACTAAGTATAATTAATACTTTGGTTTTTATAGGATAATATAATGTCATTCTCACTACTTAAGTATGAAATGAACATTTTTTACTGTAAGTATAAATGAACATTAATTACATAAAAGGTCACATTTTTATAAACAATTTTTCTTTAGTTATAATTAAATACTCCGCTTGTAATTATTTCTTCTAATAAATTAAGTAAAATTGCGAGTGTGCATGTTTTGATCATTACTTTTTCAGGTCACAATGTCACGTAATTCACGTTTTATGGTCATTAAAAAAGTATCGTTTTGTCGATCAATTTTGTATTCGTATTTGACGTGTTGAAGTATGTAATAATTAATTTAAAAATTTGTTATTTTTTAATTGAACTGACTGCATTTTTTTAAATGAGATTACTAAGTTATCTTTTTCATAATTTTATTTTACAAATGATTTAAAATGAAATTCATTTTAATTTTTGTATAATTCAACCGATTTAACAGCTTAATCAATGATTCTACATATTTCAATTATATTGACTTAACCAATGTTAGCATGACATAAATAAGATACAAATTAAAGAGGACCGTCATTGTTTTCTTGCTAAATTATGACTTAATCACCCTGAAATTTTAAACTTTTAATAAAATCAAACGTGAATAAATATCTTTTTATTTGTTACTACCTCCGGTTTTTTTTTAACTTCAGAGTTTGACTTCACACAAAATAAGGAAAGAAATTTGACTTTACTGTAGAGTACACTGTTGAGGCACTGTTTGACACTGTTTGGCACTATAGAGACACTATTTGGCACTGTTGAGACACTATTTGTCATGTTTGGCACTGTTTTGATGTAGATTTATTTGCCAAAAAAGGAAATAAGGAAGCGTGAAGTTTATTTCAGACCGTCCCAATGTTGCATTTGAAACTAATTGGTCAAACTATGACTGACTTTTTGATCAAACTAACAGCGGTTTCCGGCGGCGGTTTCTTGGCTCGCGACATCACCTTCGAGAACACGGCCGGGCCGGAGAAGCACCAAGCGGTGGCCCTCCGGGTCAGCTCTGACTTAGCCGCCGTGTACAGGTGCACCATAGCAGGTTTCCAAGACTCTCTTTACGTCCACTCCTTCCGCCAGTTCTACCGCGAGTGCGACATCTACGGCACCATCGACTTCATCTTCGGCAATGCCGCCGCCGCCTTCCAAGGCTGCAACATCGTCTCGAGAATGCCGATGCCCGGCCAGTTCACTGTCGTCACCGCCCAGTCCCGAGACAGCCCTTTCGAGGCCACGGGGATCTCCATTCAGAACTGCTCGATCTTGGCGACTACCGAGTTGCTCGCGAATTCGGACGGCGTCAAGAGTTTCTTGGGCCGGCCGTGGAAAAACTGTTCCGTCACGGTGGTCATGGAGTCGTACATTGACGGGTTCATAGAACCGGAAGGGTGGACCCGGTGGCTTGGCGATCAAGGACTGGACACTTTGTACTATGGGGAGTATCAGAACAACGGGCCGGGTTCGGTTACGGATAATCGGGTGGATTGGGCGGGTTATCATGTTATGGAGTATGATGATGCATGGAATTTCACTGTGTCGGAGTTCATCACCGGAGATGAATGGTTGGATTCTACTTCCTTCCCTTATGATGAGGGGGTTTGATTTTATTCAAGGTCAACGGAGGTTTGACTTTATTTTATAGGACAAAATAGAGTCCTATACTCTATGTTTTACAGTAGTGTAGTATAGTATACACACATATATATACGGAGTATATATATATGTATCTAATACGGAATACTACTTATTTTTTTCAATAAAAGGAAAATTGACATTAATTATCGTCAAGATGTTTTCATTTGGATTGAATTTTTTTGTCAGATTTGGTCCGAACTGTTCGGTTTAGTATAGTCTGGCAAGTGTCTGGTCTATATGTATTTTGTAACTGTCAAAGTCTTGTATGATCTAATCAGGTCTGAACTGATTTGTTCTACTTTGGTTTGGTCTTGTCTGATTTAGGACTGAAATAAGTCCAAGTAAAAACATCTCAAATGCTAAAATAACTATTTTTGAAAAATACATAAAATATTAATAAATTTATTGAAAGAGAACATGGGAAAATAGAAATAAATATATAGGTTAAATATTGTAACCTATATCACAAAAGATGAGTTAATTCTATTTTTGGTTCTACGAGGTTTATTTAATTTCACATTTAATTCACGTACTTCACGTATCCGCTTTTTGTACTTGACCATTGTTTTCTTAACCATTTGTGATACATTTCCAGCGATTTTAACTCCAAAAAAAGAACCATATATGGGAAAAATATAATAGTGATGTATCAAAAGTGGTTAAAGTGATCAAAGACGTGAACCAATTGTGAAATTGGTGCATCTCATATGACCAAAAGTACAATTTATTCTAACAAAAATGGATATATAAACAAATATTCTTAGCTTTTCAAAAACTATAACCTACAAATAAAAGATTTGGGGAGCTACTTAATCTATTAAGTATAAAATATAGTGAAGTATTGATTTTTGTGTGAAAAATATTGTGTGAAGTTCCTTTTTATATAAAAAGTTAAAAAACTAACTTTTCCGTAAATACTAGATAATACAAGGATTTAACACAATAAATTTTAGTTTTTATGCAGATTGCACATTAAAACAGAATAAAAAAATTATCTTGTTATATAGTTTAAAGTTTTCAAAAAAAAATTGGATTTCTTATTTTACCATTCTTTCCCAAAATATTACAATTTTTAAGGAAAAATAAACTTATTAATGTTTTAATATTTCAGAATATGATTATTTTAGGAAATAATATCTAATACGTAGTACTCCGTACCCTGAACAAAAATGACGTGTTGACTTTTAGTTACTATAATTATATTTAATTTGTGTATAAAATGATCACAAAAATATATTCAAACTTTAATTACATTTTCATCTATAAGTTTTATTTGAATAATATTTCTGAATAAAAACTCCTATTTTAGCACAAAGCCATAAAAACCTAACTTACACTTTAGTCGAAGTTTAACACGACACTTTTGCACCTTGTATTAGGATGTTTTTAATTAGGATGTTTTGTATTATGTGCTCTGGTTCGGTAAATGTTTGATCTCTATGTATTTTATAATTATGCAAGTCTAGTTTAGTCTGATCTGGTCCTTCTACCATTTCATTTGCTTGCATGTGTTGGATTTTAAGGTTAAGATTGACTAGAACGTAGAAGTACTTGAACAGTCGAAAATGATAAAATATTGAAAAGTAATTTCTTATTATAGATGAGGGGGTCGACTAATAAATATAGAGAACATTTACACATGAATGCATTAATAATTACAATTTAATAGACTCGTAAATGAATGACTCGTAAGTATTAGTTTGTTGCGTATTAATGACTCGTTCTCAGTGACCGTTGAAGACATCTATCCATCATCATGTATAGTTAAAAAATCAAGCGACTCATGCAAATTTAATACTACATCGTTCCCTATTTAATCTTCTCACTTTTTGCATGTCCCTTAATTTATTTGGTAAATGAACAGTACAAAACAGTGTCAAACAATGTATTCTCCAATAAATAAAATTTTCCTCATTTTCTTAATATGTCTGTCAAAGTTGGAAAATTAAATAGGGACAAAGGAAGTGTTTGTTAATGTGGCTCTAAGTTGTAATATCGGTAATGACGTCATAGTCTCTCTCTTCTAGTCTTCCCTTCCTATCTATCACAGATTCACAGTCACCGCAAAAATTCCTATTTCAATCTTAAAATATCATTGAGAAAAAGAAACAGTCTCTTTAATTTTTGTAGAATAAAACCTCAACCCAAAATAGATACGTTTGGAGAAAATGGTCTAAAGCCAATTAACATTTTTTGTGAAACTTACCTGGAAACTTAAAACCAATGCGAGCCTTTGGTCCATTTGGGTTAATTCAATTCCCTCCGGCAACCCCATCTTTCATTTTATGGACCGTGCTCAACTTTGTCCATGAAATTTTTAATGACAGCATTGCTATTATAATCAATGTTAAAGGTAATTTTATTGACATATATTGACCCCCTTTCCTGATATCACGATTAGACAGGGCTTTCATAACAATTTTCTTATTCGAACTTCAGTTGATCATATACTCACGTACTACATTGAGCACATTAATCAACACATCTCTAATTTTACGGATAATAAAGATTAAAGACTTCATCGTCTAGCAACCTAATGTGAAGGGTTCCTTCTCTTTTAAAAGCGACTGTACTATAATGTAATATGTCATAAGCGGAACAATATGCCAAATTCTAATTTTATTTGGAGCTCGAATGTCCCCCTAGGGCGTACTTTTTGCTCTAGAAAACGAATAACAACCTGCCTTTTAAAAATAAATCCAATCCTTAGGTATCTTTTGCCATTTCAAATGTATTTTCTGTAACAATACTGACACTTTCGTTCACTACTTTCTTCGTTGTGTAATTGCGATAAATGTTTTTTTGAGGCATTATGAAGGCATTTTTCAATTTTGGAAAAAAAAAGGAGGGATCCAAGAGTACCTAAATCATTGATACTTCAACTTTAAGGAAATGATTAAAGACTTGAACTTTTTAGTTCTTACTTTCATACGTATTTATCAATCCTAATACTTTACTTTTTTAATACTTAATGACTCAAGATTCGTTCTGTAAAAAACAAGCTCGTCAACAACCATATTACAAAAAGAAGTAGACATATAATACTATGTACTCCGTATTGTAGAGTATATATTTATTGATAATGGAATTGATGACTAATGACTATAAATTAACCATAATATTTATTGCCAAAACCTTGCGTGTAGAAGTCGTCGTAGATGAAATCACATTCCCAAATCTAGGAAAAGCAACTAACCACAAATCAGTAAGGGCCCAGAGCTAAGCTATTTAAAAATGGTCAACCTGATCGCAGAAGAATAGTGGAAAATCAATGCCGCACAAGGAGGCAACTAAATCCATCTTACGCGAGAATTAGTTGCTAGGGTATAGACCGCATGACCTTCTAGATCCTCTAAGAGCCCAATTATTAGTAAGTTGAATTCAAGTCTCCATTTATGTTTATCCGTCACTAGAGAACTTTAATGTGCCAAACTCATTCATGATATCTTATGATTTATAATATGCATCAAACTTTCATGTGTTATAATCAGTGTTCTAAAAGGCCTAATATCCTATGTATGTGACATAAGGCGTGATGGCCCAACAAAAACATCCTCAAGTCCATCAAAGGGTTGAGTACTAGAGGCGAAGTGAGCATTCATTCACCGCTATAATGTGTAAATGAATGTCTCTTATATATATAGTGTGTTGGGAGGAGGAATGGTTCCTCCCTTTCCAGTGTGGGATGAAGATCTTCGCATGTATGGACAATCAAATACGGAGTAATAGATGTAACCGGGCATGATTCCCATGTTTTGAATGCTTCGTATTTCATGAAATATATTGTTTATTCTATTATAAATTCAAGCTAAATGTTCAACAGTGTTTGCTATTATTGGTAATATATACAAAGTAACCACTATAATATTTACTATTATTACATAATCATTACACTATGTTTATGAGATCATTATTATATAATCATTATAACTAATGTTTTTATTATTATAGATATTATATTATTAAACTATTCTTACTAGCTCTAACTTTTTTATACTACGCGTATAAAATAAGTTTCATTTTCTAAAATCTATAAAATTGTTTGTATTAGAAAATGCAATACTATATGTTTTGCAAGATAATTTCTAATATTACATTTACATATGAGGGTTTTCCAAAAATATTACTGAAATAAAATTTATTTCCAAATTATCACTAAAAATTATTTCAGTGTAGTGTCATAGCCACTTAGATTTAAAATTTGTACATAAATTACTATGACTAAGTTACTCGTATAGTCACTACAGTTAAGGTGTCGCACTTTTATAAACAAAGTTTGTTTTAGTCATAAATATATAATCATTTTGAATATTTACTACAAGCTTTATATAAAAAAAATGAAAACGCCTCTTGTCACCTAAGCCCCGCTTAAACTCAAATTGGCTTTGACGGCTTAAGCATTTAGGTTTGGATGTGCTGGCTCTTCACGCCTCACACCTTTTAGAACACTGGTTATAATTAAGCGGACACATAACCTTTCTAATAACAAACTTAACAATTTGAAATCACGTGTTTTAATATTATGATTGAACATGCAAATGAACTTCTAGAGGCCGTTTGACAACACTGTTTTTCGACTTATCAGGCTTATCAGCCAACCTTTTCACCAAACACGTAACTTTTGCTTTCGCGCGCTGAATTGTGTAATAAGCAGAAAAAGTAAGGTTGTAGTTACTTTTCTGGCTGTATTGGCTGAAGTTACTGTAGATGACCATTTTAGCTATTTTTACATATAACTTTTTCTTTATTTTATTAATAAAATATATTTTAAAAATAACTTTCTCTTAAATCAGAAGAATCAGCCAATGCAACCACTTCAGCCAAAACTTCATAAATTTCAGAAGTATCAACCAAATCAGCCGATTTTTGTGTTACCAAACGGGCTTCTAAACATTTTTCGTATGTTTGATAATTAAATTATTGATATTTTTTCAATGGGATTGTGTAAATTTAATTATAAAACATGAATTTGACTCGTTTTTTAAATTACACGGCTAATGCTAGCTTGGAATTTATATACTAGGAGGGGTTTCACTAAACTAGTCACTATAGTCACAACTCACGCTAAAGGGAAACATCTTTAGTGCTTGATGGCGAAGGTCTTGTTTACTTACTATATAATGGATTTAATTGAATGCATGGTTTAATCATAAAATTATATAGTTGTGTTTACTTGTGAGTTACGATTTAATGGTAAAAGTGACTTATTGAGCGAGACCCTTTGTGACTTAGCTCAATCCAATTTTAACACTTCTTAAGCTTGAGTCATATGCATGTAATTAGAGTCTTGTTTTTA